TGAAAAATGCAACTTGTTAGGGCCGTTTTTCACATTTGCGACCATTGCATCATCTCCCTGGTCACGTGATCAAAATTCAGATGCTTGGCCAGTGACTCGTATTTGTGGCGGTTGCAGTGTCCAGCGGTCACATGTGATTTCCTTTTGTGACCTTCCGACGACCAAAGTCAATGGGGAAGCCGGATTCACTTAACGACAATGTGACTCAATTAACAACTGCAGCGAATCACTTAACAGCCTTGTTGCTAACTTAATAACAGCGGTGGTTCACTTAACGACTATGGCCAGGAAGGTGGTAAAATAGGACAAATCTCATTTAACAACTCTCTCACTTTAGGAACTGAAATTTGGAGCTCAGTAGCGGTCGTAAAATGAGGACTACCTGGTCTTTAAAACAGGAGCAAAACGCTATAACAAAAGCATGAATAACAAAAGAAATAGCAGCTGGGGAGAAACAACCTATTTCAACAATTACTATAATTTTACTACAAGCTCCCGCCACCTCCGCAGAATTTGCGGTTGAGTTCCCGAACAGCAATAAAAGATCTAACAGGGATAATTCACAAACCTAAGAACCTATTTTTCCTCCTTTTGAGAGCCGTTCAGCTGGCGGCTTATTTGTTCTTTTGAAAAATAGATTTTTCAATTAATTAACTAAAATCATGCGCGTTTGGCCAGCATAAGACGACACATTAATCTGGATTCCGTTTTTTTGGCTGCTTTTTTTCTTCTCTGGGTTTTTGCACTCAGCAAGGGGTTAGTCTGGATGTTCTTTTGCACTGGATAAGTAGTGAGTCTAGATGGCTTTTTGCATTAGATAAGGGGTGAGTCTAGATGATCTTTTGCACTAAGCAGAGGGTTAGTCAAGATGATCTCTAAAGTACCTTCCAACCTATGTTTTCTATGCAGCGGTAATTTTTTTTAAATTGGGATAGTTTCCATTGGGTATTTCTTTTAAAGACCATAGGTTCCATGGTATAAATTTGATTTTATTAATAATATTATTCCCGTTGAGAATCCCTGAACTGGGTTTGGCCCTAAGAGTTCCAATCAGCCATTTCCTTCCCCGCCGTCTGATGGATTTTGTAATTCTCCAAAGCTTGCACAGCCGGCCTTTTAACTTGAATAAGTTCCAGTGGAAAACTACCAATTAATCTGCACTTTATGGATGGTTTTTTTTTTTTAAATTATGCTTTTTAAATGAGGTCTTTTTAGGTGTGATTCTTAACTTGAAAAAAAATCTTTCCTCAAATTAAATGGCATTTTTGCCCTCCAGCTTACCCAGACACCCAAGAACATCGTTCCTGGTTGGTGAAAATCTAGAGCGGGTATGAAAAGCAATAGAATAAATACATTTTTTGCACATTCGAAAGGCAAAAATTACAGTTCGTTCTGGGCCTTGCTTAGTTTTTCTGGTTTTTAAAAATGAGTCAATTTATTTTATTTTTTGCAATTCACTGGTTGCCACAAACCACCATCCGTTCATTTGTGGGGAATGGGGATATTTTGGGGTGTCTATCGAATACAGTTAAATTATTATTATTATTATTATTATTATTATTATTATTATTATTATTAT